ATTCCGTTTTTTTTTATGAAAATTTTTGGAAAATAAAAAAGCATTTTTTGGTTGTTTTTGTTTCTAATTTTTATTAAAATGTAATTATTCTTATATTGTTATTCAACATGTTTTCTCTAGCCGAGAACTTAAAATTATTTATATTTACAACATGAAAGGCATTACTGGCATTTTTATTTCATACGATTGATATTTTTGTAAGAATACAGTTTCATTTTCTTGTAATACTAAATAAATATCCGATTCTTCTTCAAAAAATATCAGTAATATTTTCATTATTATATCATTAAACTTAACATATGTATTTTCTTCGAATACATGACCTCTATATTTAACACTCTTAATTCTAAAAACTTTTTCCATATTCGTCATTAATTTTTTGTAAAAAGGATATGTTTTTAAGTCAGTCTCGCTTTTTTTTAAAAATCTGAAAAATAGGAAGCAAAGAAAACATTTTCGACCAAACAGTGCGAAAAATTTAAGCTATGTTTTATTACTAATGACAATGGTATATTTTTCCTGGATGTGATAACATGACTGTATTGTTTTGAAACTTGGTGCTTGCGCTTAAAACGGAAATTCCATAAATGCTTAAGAGGCCCTAACTTTCTAATTACCATCGGATAGTGTACCATGAAATGGTGCTTTGGCTTTAGAGTATCTTTAAACAAATGAATATAGAGTTCATGATGTTTCGATATCAAATCTCCGAGCAACTGCAATTTTTCATCGTTAAATTCCTCTTCTTTAATTAAATTCTCAATACGAATTAATAATAAAATGATATGCAAGAAAGTTTTCATCTCTGAAGCATTAATTTTAAAATTTCCAGTTTTGATGTGATGTTTTTTTTATTGCTGAACTAATATTTCCAACTAGCTTTGGACCATAATGAAACATTTGCTTTCTAAAATTGAACGCATCTAACGAAAAAAGTTTCTTTTCATATATAAAATAATTTAATATTTTGCTGAGATTGTATTTAGCGACTCCAAGATAAATGTCATGCATAATGTCGCATGCAATATTGTCCGTTACATGAAAATCTCGAATACTATTCCAGATGGAATTTTCAACAACTGCTGTATTATTGTCAATAGATGCGCATTCGTCTGCATACGTGTTTTTGTTACGAATTTTTTCGCTTTTTTCAAAAGAATCTGTGCCAGAAAGATTCTTTTGAAAAAAGCATATTCTGCAGTAGCTGTTACTATTAAAACTTTTTGTGTTTCTCTTATACTTTGTAAAAATTCCGGAATATTTTTTCTAGCCATATTCGATTTAGCATGAAAACTTAATAAGAATTTGATAACATTTTTGTTGGTAGTATTTTTCAAAAAATTCATATTAATTTCATTATTTCTTAAATTTTCTTTTACTGGTATTACATTATTATTATTAATAGCTACTTGCACATCATTGACAATATCTTCCTCTTGCACATGACTTTTTTTTTGTGGAGGTTGCTCTGATAAGTTTTCGCTATGAGATAGAGATCGATGCTGTAATATATGTTTCTTAAATTTAAAAAAATTTTGATAAGTTCTTTGGCATTCTGTAGTACCACGGAACTTGCATTTGTAACAATATGAATTTGACGTTTTGTGTTCATTTTTTAAATGGCTCAATAAATTTTCTGGGATTTCATACGGTTTTTCGCAAATAAAGCAAATATGTTCAACGTTCATTTTTGAATAATATTAATAAAATTTTGAACTTTCGAAACTTTAGTTTTTGATGGAATTTCATAAACATATTCCTGCAAGAACGTCCATACATATTTACTTTTTGCTGAATATTTTAAATCGAAAACAAAACACATTTTCACGACTGCGTCGACAGCCGCTAGTAACGTATGTACTTTGTATATAGAGCCATTTAAATAAACGAAAAATTCTTTTAAATTATTCACGTGTTCACCAACAACAATAACTTTGGGTTGCACCGACAACTTCTCCTCTAACGCTGAAACTGTGATTGTATCTTCCATGTGCTTAAAATTGTTAATATTTACTAAATGTACCATCATGTCCTTCTGCGCTTCCGATATAGTGGGCTTGTGAGTTTTGGATAGTCGCTGTGGTAAAATTACTGCGTGCAGAAGGTTAAATATTTGAAAATGTGTCGTGTAAATAAAAAAAGGAAATGTTCTTTTAAAATGACTGAAACTATTTACCTGACGACCAGTTTGAGCATTTATTCAATGTATGGAAGAGGTTCATATTGAGTTTGTCTTTGATGAGTGAGGGGAAAATTTTGCACACGTCTGCTACAAATGTCTCAATTTTCTCAAATAATAAATTTGATTTTTTTGGGTAGAGGGTCTGGAAATCAATGTTTATTAAATCTAAACCATTAAGGTCCTTGTATCTTGGCCAATTTTTGAAAACATTGTCAAGATTGTCTTTGGACTCCTGCATCCTCAACTTCGATGTTTCTTCCCATACTTTTTTTAAATTTACTGGTGTGTTGAACTGCAGAAATGACTTCTGTTTTAAAAATTCATCGTAGTTCGGATTGTCCTCACAGTTTTCGATTCTGATTTTTTTTTGTGGCAATTCTTCTGTAGATGTGGGTTTTTTCTTTGTTTTGTACGTGTTGAAGTACCTGTCATATAACTTTCCTGACGGTCTTATATTTTGCGAACGTGGAATATAATACGTGGCCTCTACCTCAGTTGGGAATAATTCAACGATCGCTTTTGCAGCGCGTCTCATTATTGAGGGGTCCATTTTTATGTGTCGCAATTGATACTGTTCCACAACTAATCGAGCAATTATTGTCTGGTCAGCCTTTACTAATCGAAAAATTGTCTTATATGTCTTGCCCATCAATCGTTGAAATTAGTACATTTTTCAAATCAATTTTTGAACTTTGTACCTTATTAGTTCCATCACTGCTGTTCAACTTCTGTTCAATAAAAAAACGATAATGTAAATTTCAAGGGCTACTGTACTACAAAATGCACAACACAAACTTCACGAACCAAAGAAAAAACTAATCAAAAAAAAGTGCCAAACCGCAAGCTGTGCGGTTGGTTACTTTTAATGCGTGTTGTTGCTATTGTATGTGCGTGCTTTGCTTTCGAATGCTTTGTGTTGTTATTCTAAGACTCAACTGTTCTTTGTGTTGTGTATAAAAAATGCACTTACCGTGTTTTTAGATTTCCATTTTTCAAATTTTTCCCGAAAAATAAGTTTTTCTCCAAGCATGTTTCGCTTACTAAACACTTTGTCTATGTCACTATTATTTAATAGTTTAAAAGTATCAATACAATTAATACCGCACTCTTTAAATAATAACTGACTGTCGGTATTCATGCCCCACTCACTCAAAAAAGCCGTGAAATCAAGTTGCTGATCTTCAGTCATGCTTTAACTTAGGCTGCAAAATATCAACTGAACTGAATTTACATTAGAAGAAATAAATCATCTGTTTCTGACATTGGCTTGTTACAACAAAAAAATTAAGAACAAAGAAATACAGCAGAAAACAAAGAGAAAAAATGAAAAATGGAAGGAAGATAACAGCAAAGTTGTTAAAAGGTTGTTGGTTTTACCTACATCGCTCTTGGAGGCGTTAAACAACAATTTACATTGATTATAAAATCAACAGTCTCGACTACAGTCTGTTAACAGCGCCACTATTATGTTTTTAAATGTAAAGCAGTTGGGGCAAGGGGTTTTTCAATGTTTCAACTATTTTTTCGCTACAGTTTTTTGACAGTCTTTCGCAGTTAGATTAACATCGTTTTGTTTTTTCAGTGTAGTGGCCCCAGTATTCACAATGGAAGCCAGCAGTCGTCCTTCTTGGTGTTCTTCAAATTCAAGTGAGGAATCATTTCCGCAATGTCTCTTAGGTGGTGGTTCTATAAGTCCTCGATACTGTCGTTCTCTTGTGTATTCACATAATGTCCGTCCCATGAAGATGCTGTTTGGGTTGCAACAGAATTTCGAGCACGATGAGGCTGGTATCTTGATGGTTCAAATCGTCTAGGATTATGCATAATTTCGAGTTCATTGGCGAGTTAAAGCAATTCTGCTAAAGACATAAAATCTTTTCGTTTGTGAATTTCTGAAGACTCTATCCAAGTTTTCTTCCCCTGTCAGCACAATAATCGATGAAATTGTCCACTTTTTGGTAGAAATCCAGTTATTCTGATATTTAAATTTAACTGTATAACTTCATATTATAAATGTTAGAATAGAATTAGAATTAGAATAAACTAGTTTCTGAATATCATTGCAAGGACAATCGTTTATAACTTGGCAAAGGGATGAGCAGAGTAGATATATAATAATGCAATATTGTAATAAAAATGCTGTGTTTCAATAAAAATAGTTTACTTTCGCAAAGAAAATAGTATTTTCAATATACTTTATTATATACTACTTTACTAAAACTTGTTTTGTCGTTGTTACATCAAAGTGAATATGTGATTTTAACTTAGGAAAAAGTTAAAAATGAGAAAAAGGTAAATGTTAGCATCCAGTGACTTAAACATTTCTTTATATATAAATAAATGTCCAATCAATTCATTTTAATAATCGATGGCCACAAGAAACATGTTTGTTTAAGCTGACCGACGACTTTTGAAACTCAACAACCTGGGTGAAAAAGGAGGAAACTTTTTTATCATGGTTCAATTTAATTTCTAATATGCTTCAACAAAATGTTTAGTTTTGTAAACATAGATAAAGACAAAAAAGACCAATGGCTATTTCAACAACACATGAAATAGAAAAATATCATAATATTCCAATTACCATAATATATGTTTAAAGATTTTGCGTCTGATTTAGACTCTGAACCAATTATATTTAATCCAACACACATAAGAGGATAATTCTAGGCATACTTTTTTATAATCAATTTCTGCCATAATTTAAGTCATTCATTGTCAGTAAATATGGATTAGTGTTAATTATTCAGTATATGTTGCGTATAATTATTTAGCTCGATTGTAGATACACAATTTTTCACAATAGTTACATAATTGATTAAATTTATTGCTTTGGTCGACACCAGAACCTGTTAAAAAATTTACAATATATTACAAGTTTTTTGAACATTTATCATCGAATCAATGGGACATTGGTAAACCTCAGATGCACTTCCTCCTTGAGCCACTAACCATCCTAATCTTTATTTATTTGTAAATATAGTATTTATTAATTGATTTAATAATTTATACAAGTTACCAAAAATTTCAATGGGTTCAACAAGTGGAACGAAAAAATTGGTTGTTTACAGGAAAATGAAAATGATTCGGAAAAAGTGAAATAAGAACAAACAGAAAGAAATATTGAATTTAACACTTAATATTTAGATTTTGCAAATTTCTTTGACTTTCGAAAACGGCTTTAGTTTTCGAGTTACGGGAAACGAAGCATTCCATTTTTTTTTTTTATTTTTAAATAGTATAATTTCATCTAAATTGTGTCGCAACTAGAACGCAATTTTTATATTTGGCGCCATTCGAAGTACCATCATTTGAAATTTGAACAATTGATATTGTTTAATAGTAGGAGCTAAGAGATTAGTAAAAATGGGGCATGGAGAGCGAAGGGAGTTCGTTGATTGGGTATTGGAGGGATAACATGAACATGTTGATTTTGCCCATAAAATCATCTTGCGGGACGAGGCCCATTTTCATACTGATGGCTTCGTCACGAGGGAGAATTGTCTGTTTGGAGTGAGGAAAATCCTTGAGTGATTCACAAGAAGGAAATACACCCTCAACTTGTCACTGTTTAGTGTGGTTTTTGGAGTGGAGGAAGCACAATTTTTTTATGAAAAAAGGCAAGTCAAGCGAAAACAGTCAATGGTATTTGGTATCGTGAAATGAAAACATTGTTAACTATTTTATGTAAACTTGATATAAGAATATCAATGTTACCTTCAAAACCCCAATTAATATTGAATAATATAGAACTCAGCAGATCAGCGTTAGTCTTGCCAGAGTTTTTTCCTGGGACCCATGCTAAATTAGGCAGATTAAAATCCCCAAAAACAAATAATTTCAGCGTTTGTGGAATGATGTTCAAATAAATGTTTTTAAGTTTAGTATTAAGACCTCTCACGTTTTGATAGAGAATCCATAAAGATGTAGATAGTTTTTTGACAACGGTACAACTGAAAGATTAACCGACAAATTAACTGGGTTTGTTCGCTCCATAAACACAGATTCTTTTATTAACAAACCTTTAGGCCGATTGAACTAAATAATTTTGCAGGAGTAGCTATTTTAAGGGATGAAATAAAAAGGGGACGTTTAAAATTTAACGTCTGTCTGTCCGTCTGTCTGTCTGTTGTAATCACGCTATCTTTCGAATGAATTGAGATAGGTGGCTAAAATTTTGCACACATGTTTATTTTTCCAGTAGGCAGGTTAAGTTCGTAAATGGGCCATGAAGGTCCACGTTTTCATATAGCCCCCATATAACGGTACCTCCCGATATTCGGTGTTTTGATGATTTTAGCGACATTATTCACCGGAATTGTTTTAAAATTGGTATTTGAAGTTCGTTATGGGAACTACAGTCTGTGGCAGAAAATTGTCTGTGCGGGTCCAGGTCTTCGTATAGCCCCCATATAACGGTACCTCCCTATATTCGGTATTTTGATGATTTTAGCTACATTATTCACCGTTTATTTCAAGTTTCGAATTTGAATATGGTAATGGCTTATGACAAACAATGCCTATGTATGTCCACGTCGTATAGACCCCAAAATAACGGCTATATTCGGTATTTTTAAAATTTTAACAGAATTTTTTAAGGATTTTATTTTTTGAAAATTTCCAAATTCGTTGCAAATGGTGGAGGGTATTAAAAGTTCGGCCCGGCCGAACATACTGTTTTTTAACTTGTTATACCTCAACCATAGTATGGAGTGTTTATTAAGTTAGTCATTCCGTTTGTAACACCTCGAAGTTGACATTTAGACCCCACAAAGTATATATATTATTGATCACCATAAAATTCTTTGCCTATCCGTCTGTGGAAATTACTCTAGCTTCCGTACGAAATAAAGTAGATTGATAACATTTTACACAAGTGTATATTATGTCTGCAGGAAAATGGGCTATGTAGGTCCACGCTTTAGTATAGCCCGCATATAACGGTACCCCCCGATATTCGGTATTTTGATCATTTTAGTTTCAAATGTGGTATTTGAAGTTCGTAATGGATACTACTGGCAAAGACATAAAATTGCCTGTGCGGGTCCACGTCTTCGTATAGCCCCCATATAACGGCGGTGAACTGCCGAGTTTGGTTTTCTTCCTTGAGAAAACATTCGCTGTCCAGCAGTTTGTAAACAAACAAAATGATCGTATGTAAAATCATGAAAATACCGAATATCGGGAGGTACCGATAGCCCCCATATGCTATACCAAATACCAATACCAAAAGTCCTGCAGACATAGTATACACTTGAGTAAACTTTAATCAATCTACTTCAATTGGTTCGGAAGCTAGAGTGATTTCCACAGACGGCCATCGCTATATCGACATAGAATTTTATGCTGATCAAGAATATACTTTGTGTGGTCTAAAATGCATATTTCGAGCCGTTACAAACGGAATGGCAAACTTAATATACCCTCCATACTATGGACGAGGGTATAAAAGAAAATAAATAAAGGAGTTTTAGGATCCTTGTGCATAAAAAAATTATACATGTGAATTGTTCGCCCAACTTTGTACTACTCTTCGGTCATATGGGACCATAAAACACACAGCGACCACATCGAGTCTGTTTAAAAACTATTCCTTCTTTTCTGCTTATGATATTTAAACTTTTCATTTGATGTTCTTCCACCATACGCTGATACACTCTCGCTGATCATGCTGCCAACTGTAACTGTCTCATTTCTTTATATTGTCATTATAGGTGGTATTTCTGCTAGTTTTCTTGTTAACAACATTAACACCAATGTTCCTCAACGTGCCACCCGCCACTATGTACCACTTGGAATTCAATTCTCCAGAGGGATCTATGCAACTGCAGATCCTTTTACGATAATATCAAAAGATTTCAACGCATTTTATAATTTTATTTATATACATAAATATACATACATGTTGATCGGTAACATGATATCTATTAAGTGGGAGTGAATGGATAGGTTACTGTGAAAACTATGGATGATTACCTTACTGGGTTTAATAGATTCGGCGGGTTAACCCATGGCAGAAGACTACAGGTAGATGCAGCACAGCTTGGGAATATTGAAATTTCAAAAAATTTAAAATGTTTTGTCAAAAATAAGTAGATCTTTTATATGTATTCTTATACGATGCAAATCGGAGGTTGTTATGATATGTATTTTTCAACAATTTTTAAAAATTTCAATAATTTTGTTGTTGAAAAACGGACAGGCTTAATCCCTTTATTGTTGTTTTTATAAAAACAACATTTATTTATTAGTGGAGGATAAGACAGAGAATACCTACGTTTCGGAAGAGCAACCAATTATCATCAGTTCCCTTGTTTTTTGTCTGGGATATTCTCCCCAGAAGTTATTTTAACAATAACTTCTATGATAAATAAACTTTTTTTATCCAAGTGACGAATTTCTAAACTCAATAGAAGAGGGACCAAATAATTTTTAATTTAACATTTTCAATTCCAAAATTGGTTTGACAATTCATTGCCCCAAGATTCCCGTCCTGACCACCAGTGGATTATCAGAAAGTTGGAAAATTTGTTCTACCAAAAACTGATTTTGAACTAAGTATTGATACGAAAATGTTCGTAAAGACGTCCTCTTTAACGCTAATGGTTCATTTTGGACGAGGTTTGTATAGGGAAATCTCCAGAACCGACCTTCTGTCCAAACCACCAGTTATCAGAAAATCTTCAACTTTGTTCTACCAAAATGTGATTTTGGACTAAGTATTTATACGAAAATGTTCGTGAAGACCTCCTGTTTAATTCTAATATTTCATTTTGGACGAGGTTGGTATAAGGAGCCTCCAAAGCCGATCTTCTGTCCTGACCACCAGTTGGAAATCAGAAAATCTCCAACTTTGTTCTGCCAAAAACTGATTTTGGACTAAGTATTTATACGAAAATGTTCGTGAAGACCTCCTCCTTAATGCGAATATATCATTTTGGACGAGGTTTGTATAGGGAAGTCTCCAGAACCGACATTCTGTCCTAACCACCAGTTATCACAAAATCTTCAACTTTGTTCTACCAAAATGTGATTTTGGACTAAATATTTATACGAAAATGTTCGTGAAGACATCCTGTTTAATTCTAATATTTAATTTTGGACGAGGTTGGTATAAGGAGCCTCCAGAGCCGATCTTCTTTCGTAACCACCAGTTGGAAATCAGAAAATCTCCAACTTTGTTTTACCAAAAACTGATTTTGGACTAAGTATTGATACGAAAATGTTCGTGAAGACCTCCTCTTCAATGCTAATAGTTCATTTTGGACGGGGTTTGTATTGGGAAGCCTCCAGAGCCGATCTTCTGTCCTGACCACCAGTTGGAAATCAGAAAATCTCCAACTGTGTTCTACCAAAAACTGATTGTGGACTAAGAATTGATACGAAAATGTTCGTGAAGACCTCCTCTTTAATGCTAATAGTTCATTTTAGACGAGGTTTGTATTGGGAAGCCTCCAGAGCCGATCTTCTGTCCTGACCACCAGATGGAAATCAGAAAATCTCCAACTGTGTTCTACCAAAAACTGATTGTGGACTAAGAATTGATACGAAAATGTTCGTGAAGACCTCCTCTTTAATGCTAATAGTTCATTTTAGACGAGGTTTGTATTGGGAAGCCTCCAGAGCCGATCTTCTGTCCTGACCACCAGATGGAAATAAGAAAATCTTTAACTTTGCTCTACCAAAAACTGATTTTGGACTATAATTCTAATAGTTTATTTTGGACGAGGTTTGTATAGGGAGGCCTCCAGAGCCGATCTTCTGTCCTGACCACCGGTCAAATCTAGGTGAAAAATTATGCTGTTTTTTAAGGGATTTGATAGCGGTCTGGAGGCTTCCCTATACAAACCTCGTCCAAAATAAACTATTAGCATTAAAGAGGAGGTCTCCACGAACATTTTCTTATCAATAGTAAATCCAAAAACTGATTTTGGTAGAACAAAGTTGGAGAATTTCTGATTTCCAACTGGTGGTCAGGACAGAATATCGGTTATGACGGCTTCTCTATACAAACCTCGTCCAAAATGACCTATTAGAATTAAATAGGGGGTCTTAACGAACATTGTCGTGTTAATACTTTGTCCAAAATCAGTTTTTGGTAGAACAAAGATGGAGATTTGCTGATTTCCAACTGGTGGTCAAGACAAGAGACCGGCTCTGGAGGCTTTCCTATACAAACCGCGTCCCAAATGAACTATCCGAATTAAAGGGGGGTCTTCACTTAGTCCAAAATCAGTTTTTGGTAGAACAAATTTGGAAATGTTCAGATTTCCAACTGGTGGTCAGGACAGAAGATCGGCTCTGGAGGCTTTCCCGTACAAACCTCGTCCAAAATTAAATATTAGAATTAAAGACGTGGTCTTCACGAACATTTTCGTAAAAATACTTAGTACAAAACCAGTTTTTGGTAGAAAAAGTTGAAGATATCCTGATTTCCAGCTAGTGGTCAGGAAAGAAGATCGGCTCTGGAGGCTTTCCCGTACAAACCTGGTCCAAAATTAACTATTAGAATTAAAGAGGAGGTCTTCGCGAACATTTTCGTATAAATACTTAGTCCAAAATCACATTTTGGTAGAACAAATTTGGAGATTTTTTGATTTCCAACTGGTGGTCAGGACAGAAAATCGGCTCTGGAGGCTTCCCTTTACAAACCTCGTCAAAAATGAACTATTAGAATTAAAGACGGGGTCTTTTCGAACATTTTCGTATAAATACTTAATCATAAATCAGATTTGGTGGAACAAAATTTGAGATTTTCTGATTTCCAACTGGTGGTCAGGTCGGAAATATGGCTCTGGAAGCCTCCATATAAAAACGTCCAAAACTGCCCAACCATTACATTTGTAAACTGATGACAGAATTCGTAATCAAAAATATAAGGAAAATAGTACGAAATTCAAAACTGACTTAAACACAGTAAATTTGTCGTGTTTCAATGTCAAGGTCAATGCAAATTGCCAAACTGTCACAATTTTTGAGAAGTAAGTTCCTTATCCTTTTATACCCTCCACCATAATATGGAGGGTATATTAATTTTGTCACTTCGAAATATATATTTTAGACTCCACAAAGTATATATATTCTTGATCAGCATAAAATTCTGTGTCGATTTAGCTAACCTGTATTTTTCTACCATGGGTAAACCGTGTGTTGAAGAATACAGGTAGTCGCGTCGACACAGCTCTTGGGACTATGAATTCTCAAACCAATTTTGGAATTGAAAATGTTAAGTTAAAAATTATTTGGTTCCTCTTCTATTGAGTTTAGAAACTTGAAAACTAAAACCTGATAAAAAAGTTTATTTATCATAGAAGTTATTGTTAAAATAACTTCTGGGGAGAATATCCCAGACAAAAAACAAGTTAAAAAGCAGTAAGTTCGTCCGGGCCGAACTTTTAATACACTCCACCATTTGCAACGAATTTGGAAATTTTCAAAAAATAAAATCCTTAAAAAATTCTGTTAAAATTTTAAAAATACCAAATATAGCCGTTATTTTGGGGTCTATACGACGTGGAAATACATAGGCATTGTTTGTCATAAGCCATTACCATATTCAAATTCGAAACTTGAAATAAACGGTGAATAATGTAGCTAAAATCATCAAAATACCGAATATAGGGAGGTACCGTTATATGGGGGCTATACGAAGACCTGGACCCGCACAGACAATTTTCTGCCACAGACTGTAGTTCCCATAACGAACTTCAAATACCAATTTTAAAACAATTCCGGTGAGTAATGTCGCTAAAATCATCAAAATACCGAATATTGGGAGGTACCGTTATATGGGGGCTATACCAAGACGTGGACCTGCACGGATAATTTTCCGTCTTAGGGTGTAGTATCCATTTTGAACTTCAAATACCAAATTTGAAACAATTCCCGTGAATAATGTCGCTAAAATAATCAAAATACCGAATATAGGGAGGTACCGTTATATGGGGGCTATATGAAAACGTGGACCTTCATGACCCATTTACGAACTTAACCTGCCTACTGGAAAAATAAACATGTGTGCAAAATTTTAGCCACCTATCTCAATTCATTCGAAAGATAGCGTGATTACAACAGACAGACAGACAGACGGACATCGCTAAATCGACTTAGAATTTTACGCTGATCAAGAAAATATATACTTTGTTGGGTCTGATATGAGTATTTCGAGGAGTTACAAACGGAATGACAAAGTTAATATACCCTCCATAGTATGGTGGAGGGTATAACAAGGGAACTGATGAGGATTAGTGCCTCTTCCGAAACGCAGGAATTCTCTGTCTTACTCCCTGGTAAACATTACCATCGTTCTTCACTAATAAACAAACGTTGTGTTTATAAAAACAACAATAAAGGAATTAATTCTAATATTTCATTTTAGACGAGGTTGGTGAAAGGAAGCCTCCAGAGCCGATCTTCTTTCCTGACCACCAGGTGGAAATCAGGAAATCTCCAACTTTGTTCTACCATAAACTGATCTTTGACTAAGTATTTATACGAAAATGTTCGTGAAGACCCCCTCTTTATCTAATAGTTCATTTTGGTCGAGGTTTGTATAGGGAAGCCTCCAAAGTCGATCTTCTGTCCTGACCACCAGTTGGAAATCAGAAAATCTCCAACTTTGTTCTACCAAAACTGATTTTGGACTAAGTATTGACACGAAAATGTTCGTGAAGACGCCTTCTTAATGCTAATATTTCATTTTGGACGAGGTTTGTATGGGGAAGTCTCCAGAGCCGATTGTCTGTCCTGACCACCAGTTGGAAATCAGAAAATCTCCAACTTTGTTCTACCATAAACTGATTTTTGACTAAGTATTTATACGGAAGTGTTTGTGAAGACCTTCTCTTTAATGCTAATAGTTCATTTTGGACGAGGTTTGTATAGGGAAGCCTCCAGAGGCGATCTTCCTTCCTGACCACCAGCTGGAAATCAGGAAATCTCCAACTTTTTTCTACCAAAAACTGGTTTTGGACTAAGTATTTGTACGAAAATGTTCGTGAAGACCCCCTCTTTAATTCTAATAGTTCATTTTGGACGAGGTTTGTATGGGAAGCTTTCAGAGCTGAACTTCTCTCCTGACAACCAGTTGGAAATCAGAAAATCTCCAACTTTGTTCTACCAAAACTGATTTTGGACTAAGTATTGATATGAAAATGTTCGTGGAGACCCCCTCTTAATGCTAATACTTCATTTTGGACGAGGTTTGTATAGGGAAGTCTC